ACATCTTTCATTTCGAGGAAGCGTCGCGTCGGGGGAGGCAGGACCGAGCCGTCGCAGTTTTAGCAGCATTAAGGATGAACGTTTTATAAACTAAACGCTCGAGGGGACGGTTTCGCGACGAAAGTTTTCAACGACACGGAGAGAGAAAAGGAAGTAGCTGCCTGGACTTTGCCTAAGAAATAAAAGCGCGAGATAACAAGCAGGAGACGTTACCAAAGAGACGCTCGTGTAAATGTGTACCTTTTCCCGCTCCCCTCCAACCCTTTCTACCCCCGTAACCTCTCCCTCCTTCCGATTCTTGTTGCCCTTTTTCCTTTCTCTCTTTCCTCGGGAAACGGTTTCCTTCTTTCTCTTTTCTACCGCTCGATTTTCCGTTTCATCCCCATCTTGGACGTGTCCTCGCGCGGTTCGGCGCTGTAACTACCGCAGGACTCGAAATTATCCATTTCGGATTTCTTCCTTCGCGGTAGACGGTGTTTCTGGAAAAACTTCTTGCGAGCTGAAACGACGAACCGGATAGAACGTCTGGGAAGTTTTAACCTCGATTCTCCCTTGATTAAATTTCTGCGATTCGTTGATTAACTCTAGCTTAATTTGTGAATATTTTAAAAGGACATCCTGGATGACCTTGGAAGGGTTCATTCGACTGTTGATAAATTGTTTTTGATTATTTATCGATATAGGGTTCGTAGATCTGTAGATCCGTTTTCCAGAAATGTCTTCGATTGATGAAAAGCTGCAGATGACTTTCTGAGAAATTATTGAAATTATTGAATAAGTTTACATTAAGTAAGTCGGTTCGAACGGTAGTTCCAGTGTTGACGCGCTTCTTATTCTCTTTCTCTCTTCCGACACCCTGCCGCGCAAACGGATGACAAATCAATGAGAAAAAGAGAGAGAGAGAGAGAGAGAGAGAGTGAGGGAGAGAGAGATAGCGACGAAAGGAAAGGAAGGAGGATGATTCTGTACAAGTCACTGTGCATTCTAGCCTCTAAGGACCTAGACGATAGGACCTAGCCGTTAAGCAAGAACATGTAGCAATGTATAACATATAAGTTTATATTACATAATAAAATCTGTCGATAAAAATCTGTTCGAACGATATTTTTCACTTGTGACGTATGGATGGTATTCGTGATTATAATAATAAAGTAGCTATTATTTCAGGAGTCGAACGTCTAACATTTTCATCCCCTGTCCCCTTCCAGGTAAATCTTGAGTCACCCAATTTTACTTGAAATTCATCTAATAACCTACACGTTGGAAGTAATGATGGCAAATATTCGAATAATCTTAAGTTTCTTTTTCAGTGACCAAAGCCAATCGAAAATCGACATTTCCTACTCAGGATCATTGTATCTTCGCTACAATGTCCCTTAATCGCATTCGACACACTCGCCCACACAATAAACGCACAAAATCCAGAGCCCGGTAACGATATTAATTGATCGACGTCCCGGCGGCGGACGGTCAACGTCCCCGCGACTGCAACGAACCGTCATCCAATGAAATTAGCCGCGCCTCTGTCTGCAAACACGCTGATCCTCGGGATCGTGTTTCCAGGCGAGGCGTACGCCACGTTAAAACGCAACAAACACGCGATTTTAACGCTGGAACTGCTGGACGACTTAAAATTACTCATTCCTAGTTTCTCCTTCCGTGATCAACAAAAAGATGGATCTTTCCTGAGAAACCACACAACTACCAAACGCATAAACTGACTTTTCCAAATTTCTGTGTAAAACATATAATTCTCTACTTATTTCTACTTATACATTAACGATTTCTCAAAGCAGCGTTTGTCTTTCCAGTAATCATAAAAGAAGAAATCAAATTCTGGTAGTTTTGTTAATTAAATCCATATACTACCGCCGAAACTGAAATACAAATAAAATCTCAATGAATACACTTCTTTTTCTACACGAGAATGAAACCTAGTTAATTCAATTGCTCTGTAGTTTCAATTGTTAAAAGGTTCGCGTGCCCGCGTGGTATCAGAATTAAATTCCTGGCATGATCATCGATCCTGCTCCATTCTCCCTTCATTCCTGCCGGAAAAAAATGAGGAAAATCAGCCAGTGAAAACTCAGGGGTAGCACTCTTTTCGTTAACGATCGGATCCCTGTTCGCGAGCTCGGTCCGACGATATTAATAATCGTCCCTGCGGAGCAATTCCGCGCGGAGGGGTCGGCCGTTGTTATCACGCAACATTACCCGAAAATAAAGGACGCGGTGTTTGCCGGAACGATGGGGGAGAGAGGACAGGCAGCGGAACACAATACCGGAGAGAGAAGTACCGGCCACGATCTTGCGGAACGCCTTCTGCCCAGATAAGAGGGTGGAAACCGCCCTTAGCGCTCGACTACTGCTGGCGATGGGTTACCGAGACGTTGAGTCCCTTCGAACACGCACACGCACCGCAAAATTCAGGTCACCTTGAATAGGATTAGATATTCGTCTTAACCATCTTCAGAGACTTGAACTTTATGCAGTACAGAGCGAGTCAATTAATAGTAATTACCTGAATCTACTTTCGAATGATTTATTCTATAAAAAGACACGTTTCGAATAAAAGTTGTGTATTAACACTAAAAGACGTTCCTCAAAAACAGATGTTTCTCTGAGAAATTAATTTGAACTGAATTGCAAATCAATTGAAATCTTGATAGATGCACTCTCGGAGTTTCTACAGAGGAATTCCAAAAAGTCAACTCGGTAGTTTTAATATTAAGTGGAGAGTGGAATGTAATAATTTATCTTGATATTTCCATTAAAATATTTTGAGGACCTAGCACTTCTACAGCAATATAAACAATAATTATCTCAATTCATAAATATAATTGCAATACTACTATTACAATTATTCTAAGCATTATAGATAACGTGTGGTATTTGATTTCGCCATCGGAAGCAGCACTGAATGTTAATTAAAAGAACTATTAAGAAACTACGAGACACCCAAGACATTCAGAAGTTCGAGGTGACTCGAATTTCAGCTGTCTTAGAAACGTGGAATCGAACTGAAGCTGGAATTCAAATGTCCACCGTTGTAGATAAGAGGGCGGGAGCCACCCCTCGCGCTCGCCAGGCCCAGCAGACTGCCAGGGCGCAATGACGCTGCACGGAGCCGTTCCTGAATGCCTTTTTCATCCGGCCGCGTACAGTTAATCGCATTAACGGCGCTCGTTTCTTCCTGTTCCGGCCTTTTTGCCGGAACGCCGCTTCCCAACCCCTTCCCCGGCAAGAAGAAAACTAACCGCTGGTGAAAGTTAACGAAGGATCCGAGACAATGACCTCCGGCAGCTTACCGTCTCGCTGTGAGTACAGCAGTTCCGTAATACACCGAGAAATAACAGTGGAAGAACTTATTTCCCAATTACCGAGGCTTCTGTTGCCTAACCCTTGTTACTGGCCTCCGCGCGCTCCCTTGGACTGCCGACTTAAGTAGCTTCGATTTACTTCGCGTGCTGCTCGGGATATTCATAATTAAAGCACTTTTTCACTGAACACTTCCATGTTAACGTCTCCAGTAAAACATCAATCCTCCCTTTGTCACAAACGTCACCTCCACTCCATATACCTAAGCTGGCCAACATTTGCATACCATACTCCAATTTTGTTCGCAGACAAGTTCATTCAATATTCACGGTTGTGGTAGGAAAACAGAGAGAGGAGCAGGATCTGCTTCGCTTAAACGAGGAAAACGAACAACTCAATCTCGCAATTAAATTCACGCGAGTTCAAAAGGCACACGTTTATTGAAGCACTCAAAAAGAATAAGGCGCAAGGATGCACTGCGCCACGGTTGGCCACCTCTGCCACACAGTAATAAAATCTACCCGTTCCAGAACTCAAATTCCAACAAACACGAGCGTCAACGATTCATCTAAAAGCAACCAAAGATCCCCTCAAACTCAATTAAACACGGTCAAACAACCTAATCAAAACTCCAAACTATCTACCCGCCGCTTTGAAAAGCATCCAGAAATTATCTCCACACTCGTTACACAAAGCAAGTCAAACATCATCGAGCCGCCTAATAAAGAAGTCAAACCAGCCTGGCCAACTTTCCTCCTCGAAAAATTACCAGCTGGTTCCACGCTCTCGCGATGAAACGATAACAGTACAGGCAACGCTCGCGTCAGCTATCGGTCTCCGTTATTTCTGCGCGCCGAGTTAATTTCCGCGGAGCAGCCCCGCGGGCGGCAAGGCGGCTTCATCCAGCCGCTGTGTACCCGTTGTCGTTTATGCCCGCGAAACCGTGTAACGAGACGTCGACAGGGACGCCGAGGGATCGATTGGCCCCGGATTGTAAGTGAGCCTCGTCCCGCGCTCGTTAAAATCCATTGAATCCGCGCGGCCATTGTTCGGCCGTCGCCCGGGGCCAGCTCCGCGGCTTCTCCGTCGTCGCCGATGCTTAACGAGAGAGATCTAACGGGGTGTCTTTCGACTTGTTAGACAGACCCCGTCCGCGAGCCGTCTCCGGCGTCGCGGATTAATTATATTAACGCTTTAATTAATCAAGTCTGGCCGGACCGCGCGATGGAGGACGGAGCCGGCCGGCTCCCGTCCAAGACTTCGGAGCCCTCTCTCGTTAGCGTGTTTATCTTCGCTTCTCGTCTATCCCTCGGCGAGAGATAAACGCAACTCTCCGTCAAACGAACTTCGGGAAAATAGACCGGCTGCCGCCCGGAAGTTTCGCCGATTCTTGTTACTTTATTATCCCGCGGGACGAGTCCGGCTGCCAGGAATCGGCGTCTGAGGTACCCGCGTTACGTCCCGGCTATTCCGGGGCTTAATTAAATAGATCTCGATAACCGGCAGCGAGCCGTTTCCGGCGGAATTGTGTGGAGAATATAGCACGTTGCGGGAGGGAGGCTTTAATAGACGTTGGACGTTAAAATCAACAGGAGAGTGTCTTCCCTGGTGGAACACAGCGACGCGGAGGGTCTAATCTTAAC